CCTGAGGGGCTCCCACCCCCAAAGGTGTTGCTCCTCCGGCCCCTGCCAGCCCGCTCCCTCTGGCCTCACATGTTCCTAAGGCTTGTGATGTCTCTCTGTCCTGCTTCACAGGCTGGCACTGCTTACCCTTCTGGAGAAGTTAGTCCAGCGGGCCCTGTTGCTCAGGGGTGGGGGCACCTGAGGGGCCTGCCTCAGAGAAAGCCAAATGTGTTGTCTTCCCCAGCTCCTGCAGTCTCCTTCTGGCCCTCCACTCCCAGGATCTGGACATCGCCTCCCCCTTCATCCCCTCCAATTCATGGCCCTGATGGCCTGTGCGACTGTCTGCTGTGGCTGTTGATCTCCCTGGTCTATGACACAGCCAGGCACAGTCACTGCCCCAGCAGGGGCAATGGAACTGAGGCTTCAAGTTCTAAACAGACCTCCATGGTCTTCCCTGTAGAGAGCTATGTGTCTGTGGGCCAGTGGGAGGCAGCAGAGCATTATGGAAAGGCCTGGCATGGGAGCCTTGTGCCCTTCTCCTTTTGCTGTGTGACTCTGTGCAGTGAGCGGCCTCTCTGAGCCTTAGTACCTCTGCTCGTGAAATGGTCTTGCTTGCTTGCATCTCCTTCACAAGGGTTATGTGTGCCTCTGGGAGGTAGGGCATGGTGAGTTTGAGGAGTCCTTCAAGGATGAGCAGATTTTAGTGGATCTATGGGTCCTCGGGCCATGGATGTTGGCAGACAGGAGTCTCTGGGGCTTGGGAGGGGTGGCAGGGCTGGAGAGTGGCCATGGCCTCATGAGGAGCGTGTGGCCTCACCACTTGTGACAAATCAGCAGGTGGGGCAGGGCCCTGAGCAGGACAGATTTAATCTTGTGTTAGGTGGGTGTCTCTGGGCCAGCCCTTCTCTCTGGGTCTCAGTTTCCCCAGTAGCTGAGGAAAGGCAGTGCTGCCTGGGCTCAGGCAGGAAGGGAAGAGCTCCCTCAGCTTCCTCCCCAGAGTCCAGACTACCTGTTTAGCCACATCTAGGAGAATTGGAAGGCCAACTGAGCTCCGGCCTGGGGGCCAGCCTTCCCTTACTCACTGAGTGAACTCATGGGAACCGCGAGCTCAGTTTTATTACCTGCCAAATAGGGCAAAACCTGGCCAGCCTCTCTCCCAGCTCATCCTTGGCTTGGGGACAGGTAGGGCCTCTGGACCCCTGGTAGTGCCCAAAGGACAGATTCCACTGGGTCCACCTGCCTTTGGCTCCCTGCAACACAGCCAAAGGCCCCTGTCCAGTCCCACCACAGGTATGTACCCATCAACCTGCACCACTCCCACAACCCCGTACATACACACAATCTCATAGTCAAGGAAAAGGGTGGTGTGTACACTCAACTGTGCCACATGGACCCATCTACTACTGAACCTCATGGCTGGGCCTCCATATTGCATAACTCTAGTGGCAGCCTTGTACATGGCACACATGTGCAGATCACATACCCATCCACAGGCACGTAGACTTACACACTGCTCCAGGGAATGCACACATATATGTTGGTGGCACCTGTGATTCTAGAGACACTGAGACTCACACTCACACACAGTCTTGTGCAGAATGCGCATGCACTTCCATGTACACCAGTGCCTTGATACACAAGCACATGCTCATGCACACACAGCTCTGACCCAGGCCCAGCTCAGCCCTGGAGCTATTCTGGGCTCGTCCTGGAGCCAATAAGGTCAGGGACAGCCAGCTCCCAGAGGGGCCAGGCGCTGCGTCAAAGGCCCAGGCTATCCAGCTACTGCCCCATCCCAGGCTGAGTTCATGATACCCTAGATCCCAGTCTGACTTTGTGACTGGGGAATTCCCACTCCCTACTCCCAACTTCCTCAGAGCTAAACCTTGAGCCCTGGGGCTTCGGGCTCCAAGAGAAAACTATCCACAGGGTCCCCTGGCCACCACCCACTGCCTTGCCCATAGCTTCCAACCCAGAGGCCTTGGAGGCTGGATCGGGTCCCTACAGGAAACCCACAGGAGCTAAAAATAGTACAGGAGGGACAAGCAGAGCTCTGCAGGCCAGCATTCATACCACCATGCGTGGAGGGGACGCTGTCTTGCAGGGAGGCGGGCTGCGGAGTTTAGGGATCCAGAGCTCCTCCACCCCGGACCTGATGGGCCCAACTAGGGGTGGGGTGCAGGAGGATATGGGGGCTTCATAAGCAGAAACGGTACTGGATGGTAGGCAGAACACTGGGAGAAGAAGACTGAATTGGAGGCCCCAGTTCCTGTATGACCTTAGGCAGGGCATAACCCCTCTCCCCTCTCTGGGCTTCAATTCCTCATGAGTAAACAGAGAAGAGGAAGAGTCACACCAAATGCTGAAAAGTCCTCAAAGATGGAAAACTCTTCAGTTTTCAGGATGTTCATCTGAACACGGTGTTTAATATTGGAGAATTGGAAACAGTGCAAATGTCCAACAATAGGGCATTGATTGAAAAAAGGTACTGTTGGGCTTTTATACAGTGTGATATTACACTGCCTTCAACAACAATAACAACAATAATCATAATGACTAGCATTTAATGAAGGCTTGTGATGTGCAGGCACCACGATGCTGGAATTATACCTGTTTTACAGATGAGGGACTGAAGCTCAGAGAGGTGAAGTAGCCAACTCGAGGGTTCACAGCTATCAGTATCATGTCCCAAAAGTCCTAATGCAGTTTTAAGATTTAATAACTTTAAAAGTTATAAAGTAAAAAGCTACAAATTTACAAGAAACATAATTTGAAAGTTTAATTATTTAAATTATCTTTATGCTAATCTAGTTTTGTGAATTTTGAATAACTTCAATTTTTTTCAGCCTATAAGGGATCTTCAAAAAGTTCATGGAAAGACTAATATTATCTTCTAACTCTATTTTTCCATGAATTCTATTTTGGAAGTACTCTTGTACTTTTGCCATCTTCAGAGGGCAAAGAACAAAATTTACTTTCAAGTGGTGTTTCTTATAAATCTGTAGCTTTATAATTTTGAGGTAATTAAAGCTTAAAACTGCAATAAGGCTTTCGGGACACCCTGTTATATATGTCTATGTCAGTTTGACTTCGAAGCCTCTGTGCGTGCATGTGTGTGAGGGGGACCTAGGGTGCTCGTACTGGGTAAAAAGCTCTGGGTTCAAAGGGTTATAAGAAACTGAATACAGCGAGGTCTCGGCTGTGTTCAAGAGCCTGCAAAATAGAACCCACATGGAGCAGTGGCCATCTCAAGGGACAATGGGGACACACATGATTGTATTCCCTTTCAGATTTCTTCACTGGGCTTGCTCTACTTCTTGATGGATGGAAAAGACGATGAACTTTATAGAGAAAAAGAACACCCCTCCCCTGGGCTGAGCTGCGAATGGGAGCCCTGTAAGCAGCAGAGGGCTGCCTGTCCTACTAAGCAGAGCCAGCACTCCACAGCTAGTCCACAGCATCCTCACCTCAGCTCCTGATGGGAGTCTTGCTCTCCCCATTCCATAGAAGAGGGAACAGGCAGAGAGGAGTAATAGTTTGCCCAACACTGCTGTCAGGCTCACTTAATCTAGCCCAGTCTGGCCTCTCTGACCCCATGTCCTGAGGGTGACCTCCCTGGCTGGTCAGTGTGGCTTTCCCTAGCCTGGCCTGTGACCAATTGCATGAGGAAGTGGGGGGCAAAGAGCTGGGTGAGTGATTTGGGCTTTCATGGAGTTCCTGTTTTCCTGGCCAGGGTTTGCCTAGGGAGGACAGGGTGGCCCAGCTCACCCAGCCCCAGACTTTGTTGAGGGTGTACTCAGTGGATCCCCTGGACCAGTCGCCCTTTGCCAGCAGCTCTCCCACCTTCCTGCCTGCCCCGTCATCTCCAGGCCCTGATGCTAACAGGTGGCTAACAGGTGTCTGCAGCTGGCCCTCTGCCCCCTGCTACAGCCTGCCTTGGTCCTTGCCCATCTGTGGCACCTCCAGGCCGGAGCCCCACGAGATTCTGGATCCATGGGGTCCCCAGTTCTGAGGGCAGGCCTTACTGGGGGTATCCAGGCCATGCCCCGCCTGGGCAGGTCTCCACTGGTGTCATTGGTGAGGAGAGATGCAGGGGTCCAACACCCGGCTGCTTTTCCTAGCGCTCAGCAGGCAGGAGATAAATAACGGAAGGAAAGAAGAAAAGGAGGAGGAAGGGGGTGGATCAGAGGAGTTCCCCCACTCCAGGCCTCCCCACTCCTCTTCCCAAGTCTTCAGCTCCCCCAGTCCAGGTCTCCACAGCCCCTCCACAGGATTGTCAAGGCTCAACAAAGGGAGCAGGACCAGAGTGCAGTATTGGCCACCTTCAGTGAGAGATTGGGGCCCTGGCTTACTAGACTGACATCAGAGTCAGCCAGGGTCAGAAAATGGTCCTGCAGCCCACCCTATCCTGTGGGGCAGAAGATGCTGGCTCCTTCAGGAACCTTCCATAGTACCAGCAGCCAGCAGCTCTGACCATACCACCCCTTGCTCCCCATCCCTGCTCTCCAGCTCTGGTGTCCAGGGCGACCAGAGCCGCCTCTGGGCAGGAAGCCAGACCAGAACACCCAGGACATCCCTGAACGCCTGTCACCATAGCAACCTGCTGGCTATGCCCCGCTTGTCCCCAAGTCCAGTCGGCTTTCAAATTCAGAATGTCAGAATGGGAAGGGCCTCCTAGATCAGCAAATTCCAGCCCCTCCCCTTGTCCCACATGTGGAACCTGAGGCCCGAGTGAGAAAGGGAGGGGCACCTGTTGATTAAGGACCTGACCCCACCCTGTCCTCCCTCCCACCACGTCCACCTCAGTGTCCCTGGTCGGGGGCGGGCGTTCCACCCGCAGTGATGGCGGGGCGGGCGGCACAGGAACCTGACACCGAGGATGAATAAATGATGCCCGCTCGCCTGCCAGAGCTCGCTGCCACCGAGCGCGGCGGGCCGGGGGCAGTCGCCGGGCAGCCCAGCCCGGGCCGCCCATTGCTCGGCTTCCCCGGCTGCAGGGAGCGGGCGCGGCGGGCGCGAAGATGGCGCGGCAGCGGCGAGGCGCGGGGCGGCTCTGGGCGCTGGGCGGCGCCGCGCTGGGAGTTTGCTTCGCGGGGGTCGCCGGGCAGCTGGTGGAGGTGAGGCGCGGCGGCGCGGCGGCGCGGCGGGGCTGGGGGGCGCCTCTCGGACCGGGAGCTGGCTTTCTCCCCTACTCTTGCCGTAGGAGACCCGGCCTAGTGGGGTGACACAGCCCTGGCCCAAGCGCCGCCAGGTTGTGCTGGAGACTCAGCCCCCATTCTTAGGGTCCCTGGTCTGATAGAAGAACACAGACCCTGATTTCAGAAACATTAGTCTGGTGGGGGAGACTTGCCCTGGTCTTAGGGATTCCCCATCTGACTGGGGACACAGCCCTGCCCAGTCTGATGGGAGACACTCAGCCCCAGTCCTCCAGTGGGGGAGGTGCACAGCCCTTGATTTCCTTGACCTCTAGTCTGATGGGGGAGATCCAGACCCTGCACTTAGGGTCTGTTGGAGGAAACGGCCTCTGCCTCCAGAGGTCCTCTAGGGACCCCTGTCTAATAGCGGAGACATAGCTTCATGAAGGCGGTGAGGGCATTGCAAGTTGGAGGATGGGGGCAGCAGGATGCAGGGCAGCCATATGGAGCACTAGGCCTGGGGTTGGGGGGTGGGCAGGGCAGTCCCCAGGGTCTGGGGAGTCTAACTCAGTCCTGGTGATAACAGGGAATTATAGGTTTCTGAGCACGGGTGAGTCATGATGCATTCTCATTTGGAAAGAGGAGAATTCTGATTTGGAAGGAAAGAGGGCACATAGTGGGAGAGCTGGGAGGAGCTCCTGAGATAGCCTGGGAGGAGGTGCAGAGGATGGCTGGGGCCAGGAAGGGCTGGAAGGGAAAAGGTGGGCACCATCTGCAGCCTCCCTGGCCCCCTCTGTACCCCACTCCTGCTGAGCCTGGAAGGGGAGCCAAATAGGAAGGGGGCAGACTAGACCTAGAATTCTGGAGCACGAGGCCACAGGGAGAAGGCCCAAGAACTACAGCCAGAGAGAAGGGGACAGGCTGGAGGCAGCAGGGAAACAGAAGTGCGAGAGGCAGTGAGAGATGCCCAGGGGAGCCCCCCAGGGGCAGGTGCTAGGGGACAGGATGGAATGGACAGGACCGAGTCATACCCGGAGGAAGGCCCAAGAACTACAGCCAGAGAGAAGGGGACAGGCTGGAGGCAGCAGGGAAACAGAAGTGAGAGATGCCCAGGGGAGCCCCCCAGGGGCAGGTGCTAGGGGACAGGATGGAATGGACAGGACCGAGTCATACCCGGAGGAGGGGGCGGGGAGTTCTGAGGGAACACAGCCCTGAACTGGAGGGTCTGAGGGGGACATCAGGACAGAGCCCTGCTACCCGATGCAGCCTTTCCCCACTGCTACTGACTAGGGGGCGTGACCAGGAAGCTGGGCTGGAGTCAGGTGTCAGCTCCAGTGTCCCTGTAAAGGGAGCCAGGCTGGCTTGAGCCCCATGGAGTGTACTTGGGCCCCTCACTGGCTGCCCTGAAGCCTTGGGTGTAGAAGCTGAGTAGGCCTGGTTTCAGGCAGAAGGCTGGAGACGGGGGTCAAGTTAGTTCTGAACCAAGGACTCTTCTCCCTGACCCCCTAGGAACTCATCTCCTTCCAGCCCATCATGGGAAATTGTACTAGCAGTCCCTTTGCCTGCCATCTGCCTACAGTCTGAGCAAGTCTAGCCCTTCCCTCCAGGGAAACACCGGAGACATTGGGCAGGGCGGGAGTCCATGTCACCACCTGCCCCTATCCTGCCGGCATCATCCTCCATCAGACTGTGCATTTCTGAAGGAGGTGGGGGCTTCCACACTTCAGCATTCAGACCCCAGCAGGGCCCACCATGAAGAGTTGTCTGGCTATTACTGGCTAGCCTCTACCCAAGACCTCCATCAGGAGTGAGAAAGCATGCCTGGCTTAAAGGCTGGAGCAAGAACGTGTAGGAAGTGAGCTCGCAGCTGCCGTGGCTCAGAATCTGAGAACTTTACACTGGCCCTTGGAGTCTTCCAATCATCCACCCCAGCTGGGCCAACACACTGGGCCTTAGAATTTGGGAACTCTGCCACTGCCAAGACCTTGACCCAATGCCACAGACATGTGCCTGACTTACATCTACATGTGCTCCAACCACACACATGCCCTGTGCTCATAAATGTGTACCCCACCCTACACACATGTGCCCTGTACCCATGAATGTGTGCCTGATGCCACGTGTGTCCACCACTACATACATGTGTCTGACTCCCCACACATGTGCCCTGTACATACGCACATGTGCCTGACCCCACACATGTTCCCCAAACCCAGGTACATGTGTCTGACCCACACATACATGCAGGAGTGTTGTTTTCTTGTCAATTTTACCATCAGGTTGGGTAGAAAGAGTCCCCAGAGACTCCTGGAACTACCCCACTCCAATCACAGATGGAAAAACTGAAGTCCAGAGGAAAGAAGACATCCACCCTAGTTAACCCTGGCAAGGCAAAAAGAGCCAGGAATCATGTATTGATCCCTGGCCCACAGATCCTCGGGGTTATGTGGGACAGGTCACTAATCCTCCCCGAGTGTCCCCAACCCATGCTGAAGGGTGGAGTTCATTAGATGAGGAAGTACCTGACTCATGGTAGGTACCAATCCATGTTTATGGACCCGGGTGGTGGCAGGGGGTGGGGGTGGGGGGATGGTTGAGCAATAGGTTGCCTTTCCTCCCAGAGAGCCAGAAGGGACTCCTCATGCCTGTATTTATTTGGTTAATCAGAGAACAAATATCACACAGGTGCCCCAGGGTCCTCTCTCCCTCTGAGCACTGACCCCACCCTCTCCCATCAACTAAACTTGGTGTCAGAGACAGGATCATACATGACTTCTGGTCAGGGACAAGTCTTGCTCCGATTCCAGAGGACAGGGCTATGTCCCCTTGAGACACAGAAGGCAGTTCCATGTCCCCTAGACATGAGGTTACCCTCATATTCTGGGTCAGGACTCTGTTCCCCTAGATACCCAGAGCAGGGCTGGACCCTCAGACCTGGGGCAGCACTGTGTCCCCTAGACCCTGGGGCACAGTCATGTCCCTTCAGCCCCCCGGACATGATCATGTCCTCTCACACCCCCCATGCAGGGTCATGTCCCCTCAGATGCCCAGGACAGGGTAATGTCCCACTGGGAAGGTGGGAAGTGGCTGGCTGTGCTCTGCTCAGGCTTGCTGCAGCCACACTTACATCTTTTGGCCTCCAGGTGTCACTACTGCCCTACAGACTATTTACAATATTTATCTAGTCCTGTCCTGTGAGTACTCCGGCCTAGCTTTCTGGTCAGAGTGACTCCCAATAGGGTGGGTGACTTTATGAGGCCACCTGCTGGGGTCCTGGCCAGGTGGCAGAGCCCTAGGACCCTGACTCCCAGCTCCACACCCCAGCCCCCACTGGAGAGACATGAAAGCAAAGCCAGTCCACCAGCGCAGCACAGGCCTGGCCTTGTCTCTGGCCTTGGTCCTGAGACCCCATCTGCCTGTGTGGGACCCAGGATTGGAGTGGGAGTGAGTGCCCAAAGGAGCCTTTAACCTAGCCAGGACAGGTTGTCCATGTTTTCTCTTCCCAGCCTTGGTTTCCCCAAGCATCGACCATCCTTCCGCTCCAAGTCACTGGCTCTGTGGTCTGGGGCTCTGCTCAGTTCTCTTGTTCTAAATCAGGAACTGCCCAAGGTCTAGGGTATTCATTGTGAATGTCTAAGATGCTTGATTTTAGGAGATTCTGAAATGCTTGGGCCAAATCCATGCTGAGACCTGGGCCTCTCTTGGCCTGGTCCCAGCCCCTGGCTTCTGCCTGGCTCACTTCCTTCTCTCCTGACCCACAGCCCAGCACGGCCCCACCCAAGCCCAAGCCACCCCCGCTGACCAAGGAGACAGTGGTATTCTGGGACATGCGCCTGTGGCACGTGGTGGGCATCTTTTCGCTCTTCGTGTTGTCTATCAGTGAGTAGCTGCTCCCTGCCCTTTCTGCCACACCACAGTGGGAGCACTGCACCCCCTCAGCACCCCCGACCCCACCCAGCACCACCCCCACAGGCTCAGAGCAGCAATTCCGAGCAGTGTAAGCAGGCCAGGAGACCGCAGGAAGCCCATCATGGTTTCTGGCACCTCCCGATCCACACAAAGTCCCTGTGGAGGGCTGACAGACCAGTGGTGACCCGAAGTATTTTGCCGGACCCAGGGAGGCAGCCACACAGCAATTACAGTAATTACAGGGAACTCCACTGAACCGAGGAGAGGACGTGTCATTTTTCCCTATGGCTGGCTTCTTCATGCTTTTCCTGCAGTTTGGCCAGCTTAAAGGACCCACACCCAAGGGGCCCCAACAAGGCCACCCTCCACCAGAGGCTCCCCAGACGCCTAGCAGATGTGGCTCCCAGGCTTTGAACCCTGCTTTGTCAAATACCATTTCCCAGGAATGACTCACACCCGTCTCAATTAAAAGCAGGAGACCCATTCCTCTCCTGGGGTCTGGGAGCTTCTTCATGCAAAGTCGCAGCAGAATCAGGCTTGGCATGCTCCTCTCCACCCTCCTCCCAGAATGGGGGTCTGGAGTTAGGGAAGGGGGGCAGAAAGTCACATGAAATGCAGGCCAGGTGGGGAGGTTGCCATGGCACAAAACAGAGTCTGACAGAGTTTCCCATGAGGTAAAAATATAGTATCTGGGTGCAGGCAGCAAAGGGAGAGAAACCCACTCCCCCTGCAAAGGCTTCAGAGAGGAGTCCTCTGAGCTGCAGGCCAGTGGGAGGATGGGTGGGGTTTTGCCAGGCAAGACTGCTTGAAAAGCATTCCAGGCAGAGGGAATGGTATGAGCAGAGGCTGGGAGGAAATGTGGCCTCCACACAAGGTCTCAGATAACCCCTATCGGGCATTCACTGAACACTAAAGCTGAGTTTAAGTTCTAGCTGGAGCTGTCCCTGGATGAGGTACCACGGAGGGCAGAGTGGCCCACAGAGGGCCCTCCAGATGTGAGGGGCTCCAAGAATACTTGACATCTGATTTGCATGTGCTTCTCCTGGCACCAGAAGTGCCCTCCCAAGAGAAAATATCTGCATGCCCCCCACACACACCCTATGAGCAAGAGGCTGCATTTTGTTCACAGCTGAGGCTGAGAACCAGCCAGACATCTTAGAGGAGGCCCAAAGGACAGACAGGTGTGCCTGCAGCCTCAGCCCAGGTGTCCAGAGAGAGAGACAACCCATAGCACAAAGAGACAGGGTTGGGGGAGCTATCTGCCCTGCAGGAGTCACAGGAGATGTTTAGGGAGCAACTCTGGGGCACCCCAGGGAGCAGGAGAAAGAGGCCTGGGGCCTCAAGACATACAACATCCTCTCTGGGGCTCTGCTTAGCCCCAAGGATGGAGGTGCCTGGGGCCACCTGAAAAAAGTTGCACAGTGTGAAATCCGAAGAGGCACTTAGACACCAACCACGGAGACCTTCTCCTACCCCTAATCCCAACATCCTCTCTGGGGCTCTGCTTAGCCCCAAGGATGGAGGTGCCTGGGGCCACCTGAAAAAGTTGCACAGTGTGAAATCCGAAGAGGCACTTAGACACCAACCACGGAGACCTTCTCCTACCCCTAATCCCGTTTCCTCGAAAGGGTAAGGGTTATCCCCAAGGCCCCTGAGCAGCAGGTCAGCACATGTTACCTTCCATTGCACAGCTCTGGAGAGTGGGAATTAATACAGCCCCATCTCTCCTGGACAGTAAACATTTTTCCTGCTTTTAGGCCTGCTTGGGCCTAGGTGGTGCAGCTGTTAGTGGAGCACCAACCCCAGAACCCTGCAAGGAGGGGGCTGAGGCTCTATGGGGTGCCTCTGGGGATCTGCTTGAGCCCTGGGGACTTGTATCCCAAGCCTGTACCGGGGCCCTGGAACTCAATCCAAAGCACTTTGTTTTTCCCCTTCTTTAAGACAAGCAACCGGGCAGGCTAGGTGGGGCAGTAAAATAAGGAGCAGTGTTTGAGCCCTGCTCTGGCTGCCAATAGCCCACTGAGCTCCCTTTGAAGCCCAAGCCCCCCAGGGCCTGGGAACAGCCTGCATGGAGCCTAACCATGGTCCCAAGGAGGTGCCCGGTGGGGTGGCTAGAAGAAGTGGCCCAAGCCAGTAAGGTCGAGGTGGGGGACTAACCTTGGGTCTCTAGAGAAGACCAGAACCCAGCTCTTTGGATAACAAAGGCCTGCTGTCTGCTCAGGTCTATCCCCTCACAGTGGTGTAGTCAGACCTACTGCTGGGTCCCTCATGCAGCACCCACCACCCCCACCCCAATGTGTGCCTGGATGCTCTTGGCTCCCTAATCCATTCATTCAGGAGTCCAGTTCTGTTCCCAGCAGCAAGAACCATCTCATTCATTCATTCACTCTTTTCGTTCATTCTGTGAGCCTGGATGAGATCCAGTAGGACCACAATATTTGGCTAAAGGGACACTGACTTGGTTGCACAAGATGACCCCAAAGGTTGCGTCAGCCCAGGCTACATAGGTCTGAACCATCTTCCCCAAAATAGGCCTGGCTTGTCCTGCCTGGGCCCTTCTGCCCCCAGGAGTCTGCCAGGAAGTTATGTCTGATCATCTGATTTATAATAGGAACCAGCTCTATCCCCTCCCCTGGGGCTGGAGCCAAGGTGGTCAGGCTGTGGGGGCCTTAAAAAAATAAACTCAGTCCAGCCAGGTCCTGGCAGCCCTGCCCTGCCCTACCCATCACTAGACAGGACAGTTCCATGCCCCGGCCCAACTGGCGTGGGTGCAGCTGCCCTCGGCCGGAAAACCGCTCCTAGAATAACTCAGTCTGAGGGGAACGCCCCAGGGCAGGATCTGTGCCCTCTCCCCAGCTCCCTCCCCACCCAGGAGGAACGAAGGCTTATCCTCAGGGAAGGAGTCCGAGGCAGCTCTGGCCCAGCTCTCAAAGACCTGGGGAGGAAAAACTAGAATGCACTGGAATGCAACTAGAATGCACTATAGCCTGGGTTGGAAGCACAGGATGGTCTCTAGGAAACTATGGCTTAGTCACAACACAGCCCTCTGCCTTACCCCCCACTAGTTCCTAGTCTAGTCAGAAAGCCCCTCAGGACCAAGACCGGCTACATAATTTACAAGGCCAGTGCAAAATGAAAATATGAGGCTCCTTGTTCAAAAGCTATTAAGAATTTTACAGGAGGGGCTGACCTGTAGCTCACTCGGGAGAGTGAGGCGCTGATAAAACCAAGGCCATGGGTTCGGATCCCATATAGGGATGGCCGGTTAGCTGACAACACCAAGTCAAGGGTTAAGATCCCCTTACCGGTCATCTTTAAAAAAAAAAAAAAAAAAAAGAATTTTACAGGACAGCATTAAATCAGGCACAATACCCTTCTAAACGTGGGGCCTGCGCAGCTGCATGAAGTCAGCCCTGCTCAGGAAAGCCACCTTGGAAACCTTAGGGCCCACAGGGGTTTTGTAAGATGATGAGCCTCCTGCTGGAGTCCCTTGGGTAAGACACACATAGGCGGATGGAGGCAGGCCTGAAGTTTGGGTGCCATACCTGGGGTACCTGAGGCCCAGCCCTGCCAGGCCTGCTCTGCCCTCCCTACAGTTATCACCCTGTGCTGTGTCTTCAATTGTCGCGTGCCACGGACCCGGAAGGAGATCGAAGCCCGGTACCTGCAGCGAAAGGCAGCCAAGATGTACACGGACAAGTTGGAGACTGTGCCGCCTCTCAATGAACTCACAGAAATCCCCGGAGGTGAGTAGCCCTGCCCAGCCCCAGCTGACGCTGCTGAGCCGGCCAGTTCCTCAGTGCTGCTGCCTGGACTCTCCCTTCTCCTACCCTCCACTTGCAGCAGGTGCAGGGAGGGGACCCGGCCCTGTCCCAGGAGACCGGAGCATGGAAATTGGTCAGAGTGAGGCAAGTAGAACAAGGAGTCTATTCTCCAGTGGGAGAGCTTTGGAAGGAGGAAGTAAAGGACAGGATGTGGGGGGCTTGGGACCCTTCCCCCTGAGGCTGCTGGGCCCAGGACCTTGTCTCACCACTATCACACAGCCTCTCTCCCCTACCCCACAGAGGATAAGAAGAAGAAGAAGAAGGACAGCGTGGACACGGTGGCCATCAAGGTAGAGGAGGAGGAGAAGAACAAAGCCAAGAAGAAAGGAGAGAAGTGAGGGGCGCATCCTGGAGGTGGCGCTGGGGCTGGCAGGCTCTGGAGCTCAAGCCCTGGCCAGGATCCAGGCATCTTGGACTCGAACTCATACATGGACCACAGAGGCTGTGGTCAGAGGGGGAAGCTGAGGCCCATGGCCACGTCTTCACAGCCCATCAGGGTCGAGGACAAGACTACACCAGGTGTCCTGCCTTCCAGCTTGGACTTTGCTCCTTTCTCCCCATCCATGTGAGCACCTTCCTCAGCAAAGGTGGTCTGGGGCCACTGTCTCTCTGCAGATGCAGAGTGGCCTCACACTGCTCTCCCCACCCAGGATGCCTCTGTCCCACCCTTTCTGCAAGGGACAGCAGTGGCTATGGAGTAACAAGATGTGGGGTTCCTTCTGGAAGGGGATGGCTGAGCTGAATGGGTTGGGGTGTGAGGCCACACCTAGACTGGCCATGAAGAGGGAGAGAGGATTGCTGACTCAGCCAGGTGGCAGCCCTGATGGCAAGGAGACTGCTCCAAGCCTGGCAGGGGTTCTGGCCCAGGGGAGTGAGTAGAGATGGTCCCAGAAGCAGGAGAACCCCCAGCCCAGCAGACACCAAGCTCAAGGCCATGGGACCCACTTGTCTCACACACTGTGACGCTGTGATGAACCTGAGGCTGCTAGGAGGCCCAGCATGAGGCCCAGGGGCTCAGAGGGCAGGAGGGCAGGGGGCTGAGGCCAGTGGGCTGGTGGGAGCAGGGAAGAAAGCTAGGGCTTGGACCCTCTCTTGGGAATCAGGGAATGTTTGAGAAGTCAAGGAGACCCACAGGCTGTTCTGGTGGCCCTTTCTATGCCCAGCTATAGCAGGAGGTCTCAGGGCATAGGGGGTTACAGCAGAGCACAAACGGCCTCCTAACAGCACAAAGCTTCCTCTTCTACCACTTTCCACTCCTGGCACCTAAAAGAAGCATCTCTGCCCAAACATCCCTGGGGGCTGAATCCTCAGGGAGGGGAGGTGCGCAGAGGGGCTTCCCGATGGCAACTGGAGACTCGACTCGGGAGACACAGAGATTTCTGAGCTGGGGCGCTGCTGGAAAGCAGACTGCAGAGATTTTTAAATAAAGCTGAGTGCCTTCTCAGACCTGCACATAAACCGCCTCCTGAGATGACCTCAGGATGCTCTTCCTGGAGCATCTCCGTCGTAAGTGGAGGGTGACACAGCTGGCTCAGGCCAGCTGCAGTTCCCCGACCCTCTGAATCTTCTTCCAGCCCAAATTAAGATGAGACAGAGGAAGAAATGGTGGCTAAGAGGCGGAGGGGCAGCTGCAGCTCCAGGGCCACCTCCGAGGCAGGCATCAAGGCTCTGCCGGACGCTAGGTTGATGCGACTCCCATGTACTCCACCCCCTGGCTTTCAATAGGCCTTTGATGGTCTGAGCCTGGTGCTGGGGACACAGAAGAGTCAAACCTGGCTCCTGACATGGACCTGATCACCATCATGATCATCATGCAAGGAGAGTAATCCAGGCTGACATGAGGAAGGAGTATGACGTGGGGTCTTGGGGGCAGTGAGGGAACAGAGGCTGCAGAAGGGCCACCGCTGGAGCTACCAGATGGGAGCAGCAGGCTGTTCTCTGCTGTTGAAGAAGGCTATGGGCTTCTTGTGTAGCATTGGCAAAGGTCATTCTACCCATATGGACCAGAACCCTCCTATGTGGCTGGCAGCAGAAGTCCAGAGGGGCAGGACACTCAAGGTCACATACAGCAGCAATTGGTGTGGCCTGAGGGAGGTCCAGAGCTGGGCTCTATCTTCCCTACCGCTTACTTGGGGCCTTCACTAGCCCTTTATGGGCAGATATGGCTGCTGATGGTAGCTCCAGGTAGGGGGCAGAGCTAGAAGGTCACAGTTCACTATGGCTCTTTGGGGCAGTGAAAGGGTGTGGTCTAACCACTGCTCAGAAGGCAGCCAAAGTGGAGGAGAGCCCAATTCCCTCTAAAGTATCACAGAAAGAATTCACTCACCTCCCAGCTCAGACAGAGCTGCACCCTCACCCCAGCTTCCAGCTGTCCTGGCAGCCCCAGCGTCAACCTGGCAGTACGTTCTAGGCCCTCCATTATCTGATCCCAATATCACCCCTTCACGCTCCCTCCACCTTCCACAAGCCACCCCAAACCTTTGAATGGAGTAGACAGATCCCAAGGGTCTCTGCGCTTCTCAGTATAAACTGCCTGGAGTCCCCCAGCCCACCCCTATCTTGTTCACTTGTTTCCCACTAGAGCAGGCTCAGGGAGCGAGGGGCCTCCGAGGCCCGGGAAGAAGGAGGCATGGGAAAGAGAAGTGTTTAATTGAGCACCACGTCTCTCCCTGCCTTGCAGGGCCATGAGAGCTGCACCTGCAGCATTCTGGGCACACAGTGCGAGGAGGGGCCTGGGTGTGGGAGGACACACCCAGGGACAGCACACAGCATGTCAGGGTGCAGCAAGGAGACTGAGGGGCAGTGGTAGTGCCAGGAGCAGGGTCCTGGATGGGGCCAGCAGGGCCAGGGGCTGCCCGTTGCGGCGGTCCCGAATCCAATGCTGGTAGGAAGAGACACGTAGGTAGATGGGTGGGGCCTCGCTCTGGTTGCAGCCTGCGCCCCAGCTCACCATTCCTACCAGGTACCACACGCCCTCCGAAGGGCAGACCAACGGCTCACCAGTTATCTCCTGCAGGGAGGGGTGGGGGAGTAAAAAGGGTCAGGGAGGCCAGGCAAGGCCTGAGGGAGATGTGACCCAGCTTAGGAACAAGCAGGATGCCCTCCCATCAGGTCCTCTCCACAGCACCCCAGTGTCAACACAGGTGAGAGGTACTTCAGACCCAGGACTCTTCCTCAGAGGACTTCATCCCCCACCCAGTACCCACCCTTTATCTCCCCACCATCGCCCTCCCCTCTCTCACCTACAACCTCCATCCCCACTCCCAGCCACATCTCCTTCCCCCATCCTCCAACCCCATCTCCCCTCTCCCATCTCCCTATGTCCCCCCCATCATCCCTGCCCATCCCTTTACCCACTTATCCCCTCCCCCTCCCCACACCCTTTCCCCACTCTTGGCCAGGTGCCCTTGGAGGTGGCAAGCAAGGGGAGAGCGCTCACATAGCAGAAGTGTTCTCTGTTGGTGTCCTCTGCACAAATCATCTGGGAGTTGATGATCCGAACCACAGAGGGGATTCTAGAGAACTTGTGGTAGAGGCTGTCACACTCCTTGTTGTTCAGGATGGTGACTTCCTTCTCCTGAATGGTCCGGAACTGGGGCCACTCACCTGTAGGACAGGGCCCCGCTCAGGCATGGCGCATCGCTGCTGCCCACAGCCAGCCGCCTCATCTCCATCCTCTCTGCTCTTCCCCACTCCCCTAGCCTCTTCCACTTGCTACACAGCGGCCATGGAGATCTCCAGGCACAGCCTGCCCACTGCTCTAGCTGGCACCTCAAGGGCCCTTGATACAGAGACCGTGCAGCAGGCGGCGCCCATGATCTGGCCTTGCTGGACCTGGTCTTGCTTCCCGCAGAGTCCAGCCCATTAAGTCCCCTTAACACCCCCTCCATCCCCACCTCAGCATCTTGGCTTTAGCCATTCTCTCTATCCCAAATGCCTGCCTAGCCTCTGTCCAAATCCCTCCTTTTCTTCAGTCCTTCCGAAGGCCTCTTCCCCCACTCGCTTTCCCGGACCCCATCTGTGGAAGTGTTGAAACACTTCTCCCAGACCCCACTGGAGGCTCCGCTTCCTCCTCTCCCCACCTCCACCAGTGTGTCTCTGTCCCTGGCCTGAGCTTGAGGAGACAGGAGGCTTCTGACCATTCCCAGCCACTCCCCAGACAGGCACAGCAAGGATGACAAAGTCACCCCTCACCTCCTCCCACTGGGGCTGTAGCCCCTGATGGCTGTCTTGGAATAAGGTGGCTCCTTGAGGCCACAGAGGACAGCAGTTCTCTTATAGGTTGGGGCTCCCTGAAAGGAATGGACATTCCAGAGTCCATCAGGAAATGGCCTTGTCTCTCTAGGCCTTGCTTCTGAATTGCAATGACAAGAGATTGAGAGCCACTGAGGGGAGGGGGGTACCTTGGGCGGACTCTGAGTGACCCCAACCTCCAGGTGCAGACTGCCCCTGGCCAGCCATGTGTGGTCTTCTGGGGAGCACTTTACAGACAGAGAATCCTGTATGTCACCTCCGATGTGCTGCATCACTTGGGGATGCCCTGAGATTGAGTGTGGACTGCCAGATGTTACTCTGTGCCTTCTCTGTCTTCAAAGAAGTTCTGCTTACATGCCCTGGACTAGGCCTGTGGGCTCAAAGGCAATAAGGGCCCTGAGGCCCAAGTGACCAGGAGGTGTTCACCGCTGAGACCCTCAAGAGAAGAAGACTTCAGAGATGACAGCCCAACAGGAAGGTCCCTGGAAAGGTGCCTAAGAAATGTCCGCCTGTGGTGCACCCCAGCCTGCACCCAGCTCCTCTTTCACACCATGCCCTGATCTGGGGAGGCTCTGACTCACCGTCAACTTTGGGAAGTCCCCAGCCCGTCACAGTGCAGAGTGAGCTGTCCTTCAGCACATAGTCCAGGCCAGGCAGGCAGACGGGCCAGACATACTTGTTGTAGCTGAGCACCCACTCGAGCTTGAGGAGGCCAATGTTGTTGGCGCGGCCAACCCAGGACCAATATCGCCGGGACCGGTACCTGCTGTTCACTATGACCTGGAGCACCGGGATGTCAGAGGTAGTCTGCGTCATCTGGTCAATCCATGGGCTCCCCACCCTCACTGAATAGAGAACGTCACTCCTGGGGAACCATGAGGGAAGTCTGCAGTCAGCTCCAGGCACCAACCCAGCCTCCTGCCCCTGCTTTTCACCTAAATGTTGCTTCTGAGCAAATCCAGGCAGGCCACCTATCTGCATCAAGCCCCCTGAGCCTCCTTCTCACAGCAGATGGGAGTAGGGCCCTGCGCACACAGTGTGGTCCAGTCTTCACAATAAGCCTTCATTTTATGAAGGGGGAAACTGAGGCTCAGAAAAGCCTAGTTACCCACTCAGGGCTATACAGATAGGAAGTGGTGGAGCTTGGATGTGGATCCAGTTTTCCCTGGTTCCAACCACTGGAATCTTGCCAGCACCCCATGCTGTCCCTGGCAGGTGGCACAGGCCCGATGGAACCAGCCTGCCTGGCTGTCTAGCTGCCTCTCCTAGCCTACCCCTTGGGGCTTCTATGTTGGCCCTTAGGCCTGGAACACACTTCTCCACTGGTCAGCCCTCAAGCCACTCCCCTAGCCCCAGAACATCAGTATAACCACTCTTTTGTCCCAACACTGACCAGACTCCCCTGTGAACACCTATCTGCCTGTTTGTCTCCCCCACCAATCTGAAAGGAGTGATTCATCCCCTCTGCCTCCAGTGCCTAGGCCAGCTTCTGGCTCAAAGGAGTGTAAGACTGTTGACTGAAGGAAGGGAGGAAGGAGTAAGAGGGATTACCGGGGATGGAAATAATGAACTAGGACCTTCCTCCTGTGGCAAGGAGCAGGAGGCCAGACAGATAGCATCCAAACCTCCATTCCCTATCTGTGGAATGACTGCACACAACTAAGGGGCAGGTGAGGGGAACCAGGGATGGGTACACTCAAAAGACTGACCCCCAGGAAGGAATTTGCAGGACTCAGCCCCCACCTGCTTGGGGCCAGAGTGAGGCTGGGGCTGTGACTGTGGGATTCCAGAGGGGGCACAGCTGGTAGACTAGCCGAGCGAGGTGACTGGGCCCTCAATGGCTCCAAACACCTCTCTGCCCTCCCCACTTGGGCCCCAACTCACTGGGTCAGGCAGTGGGCCACGGTCAGCACCCACCGTGAGGCAATGATGGTGCCCGCACAGATATGTGTGCCATTGGCCCGCACACTGGCCATCCACGGCCACCGCCGAGCCATGGCCTCTGGGTCCCTGAGGGTGGGGTCCTGCTCGTAGGAGTAGCCACAGGCTGAGGAGGAAGGCAAGAGCTTGATGAGGGATGGGCCCTTCCAGCCACACCCCATGGCACCTGCCATGCCCCTCCTCTCGCCTCAGCCTAACCTCCCACCTTTCCAGCCTTTTCCACTCATCACCGCGGAATGGGGCTGTCCACAAGTGGGCTGGTTTCCAGCCTTGGAAGCACCTCAGCACTGCCCGGGAATCCCTCCCCATTCCCAGAGCCCAAGCCCTAGAGCATCCGCAGCCACCTGGGCCCCTTGTCCCACCCAGCACCCTCGGCTCCAGCCAGGCCCTTCACAAACTTGTCCCATCCCCCCTACTGTGGCCAAGGCAGACCCTTCTCCCTTCTCTGGGAACCTCCCTCCTGGGATTCAGTGAGAAAAAGATAGACAACCTAACAGAAAAATGGGCAATGTGTACAAACAGGTACATCCTGAGGAGGAAGCCCCAGCAGCAAATGAGCACAGAAGCTGCTCAGCCCTGTTAGTCCTCAGGGAAGCACAGACTTAAATCACAGCGAGGCTCTGGTCGCTGGGAGTGTCAATTGCTGCAGCCACTTTGGAAAATAGATCTTTAGACTGAAAATGCAAAATCCAACATCCCAGTAGTCCGACTCCTAGAGTTTTCCAAATGGATTAGTGGATTGTGAAACCAATGTAAGTGGACCATAACCAGCCTTTTAAAAGCTCAGCCCTGTTAGTCCTCAGGGAAGCACAGACTTAAATCACAGCGAGGCTCTGGTCGCTGCGAGTGTCAATTGCTGCAGCCACTTTGGAAAATAGATCTTTAGACTGAAAATGCAAAATCCAACATCCCAGCAGTCCGACTCCTAGAGTTTTCCAAATGGATTAGTGGATTGTGAAACCAATGTAAGTGGACCATAACCAGCCTTTTAAAGGGATAACAGGAAAGAGAATATCAGCACGCACAGCACAGAGTACTGCTAGGTCCTGTTTGTAAGACTTTCTGTGGCAGTTCAATTATACACGCTAAGTCCCAGGATAATAAGTATTTCTTATGTGGGCCTCAGTTAAACATGCTTGAAAGCCACTGCTTAAGAGAATGTCTTACGCATGTGCCCTGAAGAGGCTCACACAGCCCACCCTGAAAGCTGTACTGGAGAGCTCCAAGGTCCCTGGCTGGGAGCCTGAGTTGGGACAGGCCAAGGCAGAGCCTGGAGCAGGAGAAGAGACCACCTACCCCCTGCCCCACAGCCAGCTCAGGGAGGTGAGAACTTGCAGCCAGGCCCAGGCTCCTCTGACTTTCCTGCCTCCTCCCTATAAAGACAAGACCCCCCATGGTCTGGTCCTCCAGGCAGGACCAGGGCCTGGCCCACAATACCGTGCTCAGTAAACACTTGTAGAAGGAAGGTCTCTTCTACTCCCACGTCTCTCCACCCCTTCCTCCCATCCCTTCTGCCCCCAGAGATTAAAGGTCCTTAAGACTCCTCTGACACCCTCCTTGCCCAGTCCACAGTACTCACAGGGTAAGAAATCATTAGAAACAGGGGACTCCAACTGGATGGTGGAAGTCAGCGCCTGGACAGTAGGGGCCTGCCGGGGAAGGCGAGGCCCACCCGAGGGAGAGGTGGCCTTGGGAGTGCAGGGGACTCCTGGGTCTGCCGGGGCTGCCGTGGACAGCGCCCCCTGGGCTCCGCCCACGCCCAAGCAACCTGGAGAAGGACGCAGAGCAGTTGAGAGGGGGACAGGCGCGGGCCTCAGTGGAGGAGGGGTGCGGTGGGGCTCACCCTCGGCTCTCAGCAGCAGCAGCAGCAGCAAGAGAGGGGCGCAGGCGTGGGAGTGGCCAGACGTCTGGGGCTCCTGGGGGCCCTGTCCACAGGCCCGTGTCCAGCACCATGGCGCCATCCTGGGACAGCAGTGAGTGCGCTGCGGAGCTCTTGTCTCGACGGCGCCCCCCTTTGGATGCCCGCCGTGTCCTCTAGTGTGGGGGGTGCGGGGCGAGGGGCTGGAGGCGGGAGGATGCTCCGGGCTCGGCCCGCGCGAGCGCCCCCCAGGGGCCACCCGTCACGTTGCTCCTGGTGTCTGCACCGGAGGGTGCCCCTAGCGACTGGCCTCCCGCATGCCTCCCGGGCTGGTGTCCTCTGCCGCTGACCGCCCTGTTTCGGCCACACCTCCGCCGTCCTTGGCGCCTCCTCTCTCACTCTTCTTGACCAAGCAGTTTCCTGGAGTCGCTCAACCTAACCTCTGCTGGTTCTTGGGCCTCCTCAAGTCTGCGGCCCATTGCTCTGGACTGGCTGCCACCCCTCCTGTAGTGAGATGAAGACTAAACCGCTGGGGCTGGCATCCCGGATCTCCAAGTGACCTCACCTCCTGTCTGGTAATGGCAGTGTCACTTTGCCCCAGGGCACTGACATTAAGCAGATTAACATGTTTTAAATAACAATTTTTAAAGACTGCATCATTTTAAGCAAACGTTCCTCCCCCCACCCCACCGCTCTCCCATTCAACAAACGTCCCTTGCTTCACAGACCCATCTGCTTTGGGAAAATGACACAGGCAAAATGTCCTTACACAGAGAAAGCATGTAACCATCTGGCCGTTGTGGAAGAAGGTCGCTTTGTATGTTGGGATTTGGGGGACATTTTGATGATTCATTGACACAAATGGATAATACATTTAAGAGGCAGTGTGGGGGAATCCTAGGAGAAGCTTTGGTTCAAAGCCCTTGGAGTACCCTACATGTATGTATAATAAAAAATAATAATAATATTTTTTAAAAGCCCCTTGGAAAATTATAGCTTAATAAAAGAACAGGTGAAAGTTAAATCGAACCAGGACATTCTAACATTTGTCAGGGTCTGGGTCTTGGAAGAGGCACTCAAACTGGCCATTCAGTGTTCTAGTCTCTGAAAAGACTAGCATGCATTGCCCTTTGGTGCCCCAAGGGACCAGGGTGGGTAGCCACTCTGAACCTGAGGCCCACCAGGTCTGACAGGAGGGGCAAGGCTCTGTCCTCAGTCTGGCCAGCTGGAGCCAGCCTTCCTCACTCTCTTAGAGTCTGATGGAGGTCAATGAGGCAGCTCAGGAGCTCACAGTAAAGTCACACACATTCATCCTCTAAGCAGGCACTCCTGCTGCCCCCACACCCCCACCCCTGCCAGGGAGGGAGTACGGACGGGTCAGGTTCTGCAGACCCTCAGGAAGATATGAGGTGCTGGCAGAGGCCTGTGGGTTCGGGAACACGGTCCACATGTGAGTGTGTGATCTGGCCATTGTGAGTTTCTTGGAAAGAGGCCAACACTTGCAGGAAGACCTGAGGGAAAGTGTTTTTCAGATACCTAGCAGAGGGCCATGAGGACCTGGGGGATTGCTGGAATGCTGGGATGACTGAGCAGGGACTGCAACCCCGTATTTGGTGGAAGACTAAACTGCAGCAAGAAAGGGGAACAATCTCCCAAGGAGGTCACACAACAAGCACAAGACAGACATGGGGTAAGACTATCAAGGAAGGCTCATCTTGAGAGGACAGCCAGGACTGTTGGTGGTGAGGGAGGTTCTGAAGGGCTCCAACCAAAGTCAAGAGAAAAGATGATGACTTCAGTGGCTCAGAATTCAAGAGCATCTCTTTCATTGAACAACCAAAAAAACAGTGGCTCTGGAACCCTCCCCCAAGGTCACTGCCCTGATGTCCTGTGCAAACTATAGTCTCCACTTCTCCTGAGGGCAAAACAGAGGGGAGGGAGAAGCAACCTTCAGGATTGACCACCCTAGACACAAAGCTCACAGGAGCCACAGAGAGCCCAAGGAGACTAGCAGAATGTAGGCAGTGAGGAAGACTGGGCTCAGGAAGGCAGGGTCAGCCCTACTGATGAACCTCACGTCTGCAACCCGTGTCTTGATCCACTGGGTGAAGTAAGAGGTGCTGGTGTAGATGGTCGGGTACTGGCGCCGGCCACAGCCAAAGCCCCAGCTCACCACTCCCATCTGAATCCAGGTCTTGTTCACTTGGCAGACAAGGGAGCTGCCAGAGTTAGCCTGCAGAGGAGAGGAAGGGAAGCATAAGGATGGCCGCAGGAGGGCCTCCTCAGAATGAGCTGTATTAGGCCTGTGCTGTCCTCAAGAACAAGACATGGCCATGAACTTGTTCGTGACACGTAAGCTCTGCACCGAGGCCCAAGCTTGGGACATGCTGGCCTCTCTCTTCATTCTGCTAACTCTCTGCCCATAACTCCCTGGTTCCCTCCTCTGCCTTCTCCCTAAATCCTGGTGGGCCTCCAAGGTATTGCCATTGACCTTTGTCTTTCCTACAATCCTGCTTGCAGAGTGAGCTGTTTGAAGTGCAAACCAGCCTCCCTCTTTTTGTGCAAAAATGGGTGCATGGGGCCGGCCCGGTGGTGCACTGCTACAGTGCGCCGCTTGGGAGCGCGGTGGCGCTCCCGCCGAGGGTTC